CCTTCTGGCTGTGCCGGAGCTGCAGGGCCACGAGCTGCGTGTCCAGCTGTGCCCTCAGGGTGCTCAATTCCGCGTCCTGGCGCTGCCGCAGCCGCCCCAGCTCCCCCCGCAGCCCCGACAGCAGCTCTGCCCTTTGCTGCCGCTCCTGGAGGGGGGAGAAGCACCTGAGCTGAGCGTTTGACAGCCCCTCCTCACGACCCCAGCCAAAATTTCCCGTCGCCCAGGGCAGCAGGTTTCCAGCCTGGGGTGGGCAGAGCCCTCAGGGCTCCCCCAGAGGTACCTCCTCCTCGTACTGATCCCGCATCCGCGCTAAAGCCTCCTGGTGCTCCTCCTTCATCCTCTCCATCTTCCTCTCGTGGTCCTTTTCCACTTCCAGGCGTTTCTCTCTCATCAGCTCGCTGAGCTGCAGGGGTGACACGGAGAAATGTGTCTCCAAACTGCTGCACCAGCACAGCCCCCCCAAGGGAACCAGGTCTCACAGGAGCACAAGGACTCGTGTTCAGAGAACCTTCCAGTTGGGCTCAGGCTGTGGGCTGGGCAGAACAAGGCAGGCAGCCTGAGGAGGGGAGATGCTGCAGGGGTGTCCCTTCCCCTGAGGCACCACTGTCACCCCTGGGCAGGGGATGTGGCCTCTCACACCTCACCAGGCATCCAAGGAGAGAGGGAGAAGAACCTCCAGCAGAACACTTGCCAGATGAACACTTGCCTCACGTTCATACTCTGTTACTTGGAAGGCCTTTTGCTGCACCCTCTGCTCTGCTCTCTGCAGGTCCTCGTGCAGCTGAGCCTCCTCACTCCTCTGTGCCTCTGCTATCTGGGTCTGCAGGCTGGAAATGACCTGCCATGAAAGCCACCCACAGAGACTCGTCACCCTCCTGACAAGATCCACTGAGTGCCCTCCCACAGAGAGCAAGCAGCACGGCAGAGACCAGCCTGTGCAGTCTCACCACCCCCTGCTTGGAGCATGTCCAAATGCTGAGCCAGGCTAGAAACACATTTAGGAAGTGGGGAAAAAAAAAAAAAAATGAGCCACCCTCCCCAGCCACCTTTGGTGAGATTGTGGAGAAAAAAGCCATTTACATTCTAAGGACACCATCTCTTACCTGACGATGCTTCTCCTCTGCTGCAGATCTCAGCTCCTGGAGTTCAGCTGCAAACTGCTTCTCGAGCTCTCCTGCTGCCTACAGGAAGAGGAGCAAGACAGTCTGCTGGAAAACCTCTGTGTGGGGACAGGCTGTACAGATGCATTTGCATCTTATACACCTATTCATAAACACCAATAAAACACAACGGTGAACTCCTCAGAAAGTGCTTTACATCCAAGGTGCCTTTAATGTCTCTGCACTTTCCCTCCCAGAGATGCCAACAGTCCTGCTGTGCTGGAAGGGCTACAAACCACCTCTGCTCAAGAACTCCCCAGGCTCTTTGGAGGACTCCAGCAGCAGCCAAGGAGGTTTTCTGGGCTGATGAGCTCAGTTTAAGCCTGGCAGAGACACACCATGACCTTCTCTTTCTTCAGATGCAATATGGCATTTCAATAATTGTTGTTTAACCACCACTGTAACCAAACTGGGGGGACACTCCTCCCCACCTCAGTCCCACCTCACACAACACTCCCAGAATCTTTCCTTCTCCTTAAGGCAGTCATTGCTAAAGCACAGGCAGGTCTTATCTAATCTCAACACTTCAGCACTGCAACACAGGCCAGGTCAGCATAAGCAGCACAGGTCTGATCCTAGCTGGCCATAAAGGTCTCACCTCCTTCTTTTCCCTGTCTAATCTCTCCTTAAGCTCACACAGGAATTGTTCTTTCTCTTGTTCCAGCTCAGTCATCTCTTTCTGCTGAGCTTCCTCCATTTCCAACTTTATTTTCTTCAAAGCAAGCTGCTGTTTCCTCTCCAGGCTCTCCTTCTCCATTGCCCACTGGGATTCCCACTCCTCTCTCAGTTTCTGCAGTGTGGCCTCTTGCTCTGCCCTGGTGGGTTTGTGGTGAGAACAGAAAGAAGCAAGTCAAAATTCAGTCCTTTATCACTGGGTTCCATTTCAGAACCAGGAGAAGACAATGCTAGAGGACAGGACATGCAAGCTGGAAGAAACTGAGAACGACAGCACAAAGATTCACAAGTGGATCAACTAAGGCCTTGGAAACCAAGTCTCTTCAGGACACTTGTGTCCTAGATGTCTCTGTAGTAACATCTCATCAGCTCAGAGCTGTTCCCACCAAGATCCACCAGCTCTGCCTGTGGCCAAGCAGGTCCCCTGCACATACAGCATCACAGCCAGGGCACCAGCTTTGGGAGGCTCCAGGAGGCTGGTGCCACCACTTGGAGGGGCTGCTGGTGGCATGCAAGATGCTTCCCTCCCAAACCAAGCAAAACTTTTCACCTTATCTTCTCCACCTCTGCCTCAGTCTCTGAGGTGATCTTGTCTCGCAGCTTTGAGAGCCTCTCAGTTTCCTCCTTCCTGACACGCAGCTCCTCCTCCTCAGAGACCTTTGCCAGATCTTCTTTTAGAGTCCTGAGAGATGAGCAGCCAGAAAAAAAAAAAAAAAAAAGAAAAAAAAAAAAGAAAGGTTCAGGAGCACCGAACTGGAATCTCTTCCCAGGTTGACCATAGGAGAGGTTTTGGAGATCCAGAGGCTGCATGTGCTCCAGGTGGAGTTCACCTGCAGGAGGTGGGATGATGCTCCATCTGTATCCAAGCACACTCTCCTGAGGCAGAGCCTGCTGGGTACACAGCTCCCACTGCACAGCTCCATGCCTTTCCAGGTGGGCAGATCCTCATGTCCAGGACTGCCTGGGACAGGCACAGTCCTGCATCCCCTGCCCAAAAGCCTTCTTCTCACCCCTCTGCCCACGGCTCTGCAAGGCAGCCCTGCCTCCCAGGGGGGTGACACCAGCACCAGCCTGTGGCCCTCAGCAATGAAATCACAGCTCAGAAAGTCTCAGGGAAGAAACAAGGAGGTAAAGTGAAAACCAAGTACCTGAGGCATTTTTCTTGTTGCTGATGAAGTTTCTCAGGTTCGTCTTCCTCCTGCTGCCCCATCTCCTCCAGGAACTGCTGAATTTTCTCCTCCTTTTCTTGCACCAAGTTTATTTTCTCTGGCTTCAGCTCCAGCTCCAGCTCTGTGGCTATTCCCTCCAGGGATTCCTCACTGGGCTGGTTCAAGGACTGTTGATGCTCCATCTCCTTCTCAGCTTGCCTACTAAGAAGACAAATGTCCTTTGGCAAAAGGGTGATGGAAAACTGAGTAACATGAAAGGGACAGAAACATCCCCAGAGACCATCAACCCCAAACCAAACATCTCTGAGCCACCTACTCTAGATGGAAAGGGACAACTCTGTGCCACCAAGTCTGACCCATCAACTGAGCACCAGGGAACCCGTCATCTCCATGAGCAGACCCCAGGGAGCAGCAGCTCTGCTCTCTGCCAGGAATGGGTGTGCACACGGGGGGTTCAGGTGTGCCAGGCACACCATCTGTAGCACAGACATGAACCATCAGATAGAAGTGACTCAATTGAGTGTATTACAAACAGCTTGTTTGAGGCCACGGCCCTGAACATCACTCACAAACTGCGTGTTGATGTCTATCTGCATTTTTTTTAATATCACTTTTAAAACTTGTTCTGATTTTTTTAAAATTGCAATAGTTTAATGTTAATTATAGAAACTGTTGGTGGATGTTTTACATTTAACAATACTTTTTAAAATTGTAAATTGCATTTGTTTAACGTTACTTTTAGAAAACACCTCACGTTTCATTGAGTTGTCTTTATCTTATTGTGACTTTCTCATTTCTCACATTTCAGTGGCCTTTTTCTTATCACTAATTGCTCATGTTACAAATGGTGTGACCACTTGAACACCCTTACATATAAACCCAGTTTCCTTGCAGGAACCAGAGCCCCGTGAGCTGAGCCAGGGCTCCCCAGGGGTCTGTTTGAAGGTACCAAACATGGTTCTGCTCATGGAGCTGAACCAGCACCATCTGCTGCTCCATGCACAGCTGTCCTGGTGGACAGTCAGCAGTGCAGAAGAGTCCAGCAGGCAGTTGGTCAGCAGAGAGCTGTGCTAGACCCACTCCAGAAGCTCCATCATGGACAAAACGAAGCCCTTGGGTCCTGAATGACTCATATTTTGGCCAACTGCAGCTCACCTTGCCAGGGTGACACAGCCCTTCAGCTTCATGAAGGATCCAGCAGCTGCAAAGGCCTGGCTGGGCTGCCAGGCACGAGCAGACATGATGGGCACCTGTGTGTGTGCAGCCCAGGGCTTGGCAGAGCTGCCCACACACCAGGGGTTTCTCTGCAATCTAAAGTGTGCTGGGAGTTTGCAGCTCTAGGCAAGGGAAAGCCCTGAGTGCTCCAAAAGTTCAAACCCAATCTGTTCCTAATTAAGTGGGGGATTTTTTCAGACAGAGAGAAGCAAAAGTATAAAGTATTAGAGAGGCTGAAGGGGAAGGAGGGGGAAATGAAGGTTAGTCTAGGAACAAAATTTCCATTCTTTGCTAGTGACAGCTGGAGCAGCAAAGCCTCATTGTGCTCCAAGACAAGGTAAGGCAGAGGGACTTCTGTTTTGCCAGGAACCAGGGAAACAACAGCCCCAATAATATAGAATCATAGAATCATGGAGTCATAGAATGGTTTGTGTCAGAAGGGATTTAAAGATTATCCAGTTCCAACCCCCATGCATGGGCAGGGACACCTCCCTCTAGAGCAGGTTGCTCCAAGCCCCATCTAGTCTGCCCTTGGACACTTCCAGGGATGGGCTTTGAGTCCAAGGAAGAATTTCCCTTTTACAGCCATTAGCAAGAAGAACAAGGGAGAGGGAAGACGAGTTGGGTTCCGGAGAAATCCTGCTAAGCAAGGGCTGCCCTGTAGGGCTGCCTGCTCTGGGGCAGCTGCAGAGGGGCCTGCAGCAGGTGCCTCTGGCAGGCTGTGAGCAGAGCAACGCAGCCTCTTCCACCTTTCTGGCATGTTCTTCCTTTTGCCCCTGTCCTTGCTTAAAGAGAGATCCAGCCACACACACCTTTACACAACTCAACACTAACTCAACAGCAACAGGGAGATCCTGTGCTGGTCTCCACAGCAAAGATTGTTTCTCCACCACTTTGTCCTGAGAGAAGTGCTGCCTGTTTTCCCCAATTGCATTTGCTGATCTGTCATCTGAGGTGGAAAGCCCAGTCAGCACAGTCACTTGTACCCAGATCTGCTATTGCAGTGGAGCTGGAGGAAGGAATGTGCAGAGCCCCACAGACCCCTGGCTTCTGCAGGGAGCCCGAGCTCAACCATCCTGAGCTCTGACCTTATCCATTCCATGCAGCCAATGTCCCAAGTGACCTTAAAAACTGGGTGGTTTGTTGGGCTTCTCTTGTTCCCTCCAGTCCCAGCACATGTGAAAGCATTTGACAAAGGAGTGTGACCCCAACCAGCCCTGACAGCCACACGGGAAAGGAGGAGAGTTTTCCAAGCACAAAGCCAGCCCTGCAGAGCCCTTTGCAGCAGCTCTTGCCCAGCACAGCCTGTTCCCTTGGCACCCACCAGCCCCCAGCTTTGCACGGGAGAGGAGGGGGCTCTGCCGTGCCCCCCAAACCACAGCCTATGTCACACACCACGAAGGGCAAACAAAGGACAGGGACTGTCACTCCCACAACACCAGGACTGAAAAGAAGCCCTTACACTTCCTGTGGGGCAACAAGCTCCTCCAGACTGCTGGGGCTCCCCGGTGAATCCAGTTCCTGGGCCACAACCTCCTCCTGGCCCGGATTCTCTAAAGCAACACACTGCCCTTGTGGCGTTTCACCAGCACTTTGATCCCTCTCACTTTGCAGCACAAAAAAAGGGTAACAAAAGACAAGATTAGCATGGATCAGATCCCAGTGGCTGCTGCAAGTAGAGGAGAGAGAGGATGTGCAGATGGGCACCAAGCCATGCCTGCCAACAGACCTGTTTGTCCAACAAGGGGCTGCCAAAGGCAGCAAAGCTCCAAACCATCCCCACCACCTCACGCCCTGCCAGGCTCACAGGCAGCTGAGGACTTACTGGGGGCCAGTCTCAACATGCTGAATCACTTCCCTGGATTATCCCCCTCTTTTTCCAGGTCCCTAGGGAATTTCCCCAAGTTAAATCAGCCCTCTTAGCAATACTCACACTGTTGTCCAAATTACAGATGGCAATGTTGGCAGGCATGTTTACACCTACAGTCCTACTTCATCCTGAAGTACAGAGGAGAGAGACAAGGCAAGCAGGAGCCAGCTTCACAGGCAGAGAGAAAGGGAGGATGCACAGCAGGGAAGCAGGTACCAAGTGATAAGGAGACAATTCCTGCAGGCAGCACACGTTTTCGGGGGCTTTCACGTGAACAGCTCCTCTAACAACAAGGCTGCAAATCCCAAGTGCACACAGCCAGTCATTAGGATGGACTGCAGCTTCTTCACAGGTTTTCCTGGCACAGGCAACAGCTTCTTGGTTCCCAGTGCCCCAGAGTGTATGTAAGGCTGTGCAGAGGCTAAGAGTTTTGACACAATTAATCTATAAATGCCACAAGCTGCAGCTCCCAAAGGCAGAGGGGAGGGGCTGGAGAGAGCTGGGAGCTCAGTGCTCAGCACCATGTTCCAGCTGCTTTGAACAAGTCACCACAAACAGGCTGGAAACAGCTTCCCTGGACAGCCTGGTCCTCACAGTAACTATGGGCCTGGGAGGCAGCCCTGCTCTGGGGTCACTGCTGGTGGCACCTGGAGGGAGGTGCCCACACACCAGGGAACATCGCAGCTCAGCGCTGGCACCTGGTCACCCAGCAACTTGCTCCAGGCCACTCTATGGATGGAGATGGAAGAGAGCTGCTGACCTCCCTGCCAGACCCTCCACCTCACAGTAAGAGGCACCTGCTGGCCCTGGGTGCTGCCAGTTCTGCCCAGCCAGGAGCTGGCAGCCCAGTGGGACCAGTGCTGGTCGAGGCTGGGGCTGCCTCAGGACCAGGAAGGTCCATCACAGGGCAACAGCCAGAGGCCAGGTCTCCCATGATTAAATGCCACAGAGCACAACACACAACATCAGCAGGTTCAGACCATCTCAGCAAGAAGAGTAACTTTTGCAGCCTTGAGGTCAGACAGCTGTGAAGGAAACAGGAGCCACCTCCACATCTGGGGCACTCACAAGGCAAGGGCAGAGATGCAGCTCTGCTGCCTACCCAGACAGAAACTGAAGCAAAGCTGAAATCTGCTGAGACAGCACTAAGTGGCAGGAGAAGTGAGAGGTTTAGTGGGAAAGACCCTGTAAGAAGTTGCAGCATTTTGGGGTGTTCTAGAGGGGACACCTGAGCAGGTTGCAGTGACCAGAGCAGAGCAGGAGCAGACAAGACAGAGAAGTCACCCAGAGCTAGAGCTTCACCCCTCCTTGGTTGTTCTGTTTGTACCATACCTCTCAGCAGCTTTTGTTCTTTTACTTTGCTCTTCCTCTATACTGGCTTTACTTTGGTCTTTTTCCTCTTCTCCCAGCTCCTGGGCCTGCAGGTAAAAGCAAAGAGGGTGGGGTTCACTGGCTCCTTCACCCTTGGAGCCCCTCAGGACCTGGCAGTGGTTCTGCTGAAGGGCAGCACTGCCACAGGCTGCTCCAGAAGGGCCAGCTTCTCCTGCCACCCTGCTCGCCCACAGGGAACCCAAGGTCTAAAAACATCACAGGAATCTTTTGTGGAAACAGTTCCAAGGGAGAGGCCCAGAGCTCAGCTCTCTGGGTTGGGCTACACGAGGGTCTGGGGTTGCTTTTCAGTGCAGATGAACACCCTGCCAGCCCCCAGCACGGGGGTTTTGCTTCCTGAAGGTCATCTTGGTTATCCAAGTAACACTAAACTCCCTGAAAAGTGCAGGATAAAATACAATATCCTAAAACCTAGTAAATACTTCAGTATCACCAGCTAATGCCTGAATGTGAAATAGTGAGCTGCTCCTTCTCCCACCTGCCAGGCACTCACAAACATGCACTGCATTTTCCCCCTTGGAGCTGCCAGCCCTACCTGGGAAAGCAGGAAGGGCTCGTCCTCCCTGTGCAGGTCCCTGCTCCTCAGAAGGACAAACCATTCATAAATTCTTGGGGACCAGAGGAACAGCAGGTGAGCTCAGCCCTTGCTGTGGAGCAGGGCCAAAATAACACGGAATTAAAACAGCAGTAATTTATGCAAATGTTCAGTGGAGCAAACAGCAGAAGGATTCCCTGCAAGTGCTGTCACCTTCCATCTCATCAGCCTGGGCAGAGCTCTCCCAGGCAGCTCCCCCTCCCGGCCTCCCTCCTGCCCTGCTGTAAATAATTACTTCAATTCTTGAGAACCGAGGAGCTCAGCAAATGTTTCCTGGCTCAGAACGGGCCCTGTCACTGCTGCCTGTGAAAGGAAAGGAGCCAGACAAATGGAGAACGAGGTCTTCCTGGGGATAAGGATGCCCAGGCAGGGGGAGGCTGCAGAGCCCAGGCACGGGGCCACATCCCTGCCCAGCACCTTCCCTGGGATGGAGATCTCATGCTGCTGATACAAAACCCCTCTTGTGGCTACAGGATGACAGACAGAATCACAGAAAGCCAGGTTGGAAGGGACCTCAAGGATCACCTGGTCCAACTTTTCCAGGTAACAAGAGGTAACAGGGAACAGGCTCCTCCCTGTGCACAGCACGGCTCCCAAGGGAGCTCAGCAGGAGCATCTCCCAGGTCTCCAGCTCACCTGGGCTGAGATGGCCTGTCTGCTGCCAGCACCTCCCAGCCCTGCCCTGCCAGCTTGGAAGGGACCTCAAGGATCACCTGGTCCAACTTTTCCAGGTAACAAGAAGTAACAGGGAACAGGCTCCTCCCTGTGCACAGCACGGCTCCCAAGGGAGCTCAGCAGGAGCATCTCCCAGGTCTCCAGCTCACCTGGGCTGAGATGGCCTGTCTGCTGCCAGCACCTCCCAGCCCTGCCCTGCCAGCAGAGCAGGATGCCAGCACTTTAAACGCCTGTTAAGTGAAGGGTGCAGGAGCAGCCAGGTCCAGCAGGCAGAGCCCACGTGGCCTCCACAAGCTGTGGCTGCTCCTGCCAGCACATGCTAACCAAAAACCCCCAGCACTGTGCTCGGGCACTGACAGAGCTGCTCCACTAAAACATTGGTTCCACAGAATTCTTCACAAAAGACCTCTGAGATCACCACGTCCAAAAGTCAAACTTTTGCCCCATTTTTTACCAACACACCCCAAGAAAGGCAAGCTCAGTGCGTGGAAATAAACTCCTTCCTACAACCCCAGCCTCGTTTCAGGCCTCTGTTTGCTGACACAAAGCAGCAGCTGCAGTTCAGCA